AAACTCCAACCCTGGCCCGGGGCGGGGCTGCGGGAGTGGAAAAAAATAAAACCCCATATGGTATAGCAGGAGATATCGTTTCACAAAATTGCCATTGCCGATTAGGCTATAATTTTTGAACACATGTAACCTGCCCTCTGTGAGGGAAATTTGAGAATTTGGAAAATATGCAGAGAACTTTCACTGCCGTAAAAGAAGTAAAAACCTGAATTAGGGCCCTTTTTAAAGTCCCTCGCCTGTATTTTGGAATGCAGGTAAAAAAGGTCACCTTTAATTTACACTGGAAAAAACCCTATGGGGATTTCCCAAGTTGCCAGAATATCGTCAATAAAAGAAAAAGTTTGGCGGGCGGTGCAACACCATTCAGTAAAAAGCAAGGGTGCGTGAGTAACTAAGAGAAAACAAAAAGGTTGGGGGCCCCCAAATTGTTCAATGTCTTCCAACATACATAAGGGGGGGGGGATTAACGATAGACCCTAGCTGTCTTCAAAGGGGAGGGACCTGCCCAGGGCTGTGGTTGTATTTTGGTTGTGTGGATGACAATACACCCTGGTTGATCGGGCCCCCAGATCCACCAAAAGGCCGGTATGGACCAGCCGCGGGGGCTTAACCCCCCAGCCCCTCAGGTAGACCCCATGTAAAACAGTTGTGTATTCACCACAGTGAGAAAGGGGAATGGGTGGGACTTGTGATTACATTTTTTCTAAAAAACTTTTTACTAGCTGGAACCCAAAATTTGTTTTTACGGTTTAAGAAGTTTGAAATAAAGGAAACCATAAAGCGTGTTATAAAAGCTGGGTTTTTCCCCGGCGGCCCTAATGTGTCTCGCCGAGTTACGGGTGGGTGGGTCGAGCCTCAGGGTAGCCTAAAACTACCTTGCCGTTTTTTCAGGTCTGATCATTAAACAATGAAAATAACAACTTTTCTTTAATTTTTCAGTAAACACTTTTCTTTGTTTTAAATCATCTCCCTATCAACCATTTTGAAGGTGAGTATTTTTACATTATGAAAACCCTATTGGCGGGGGGTCATTTTTAGGATTGTGTGATCCCGGGGACTAGGTGTCATGTTTTTTTGCCCCCCCTGAGGGGGGCCAAAGAAAACATGGGTTCGTCCTTGGTAGTGCAGTGTTGTTATTGATTAAAAATTATATTTAATTGAAATTATATTATTATATTATATATATATTTTTTTCTTTCAACACCCCGGCCGATCCCCGAGGCGGGGTGGCCCAAAAAAGAAAAAACAAAAGTTTCTCCTTTTACATTTAGAAATTATACGGAAAAGAGGTTACTACCCCCCTTGCCCCCGGCATTTTAGTTGCTCTTACAACCGCATGGCTTTCGGAGGAAAAATTCTGTTCCCCTTCCCCGGGGATAAGAGGGAAATTTAACAAGAATAAGAAACTAGAAAGAAAATAGAAGAAAAACCCCGGGGGGTGGTATTTGGCTTGTACGTATGTGTAGTGGCCCAAATGTAAGTAGAAGTAGCAAGACGTACCTGAAAACTTGCATGTTCAGTGAGACTGGAAAAAAGGGACACCAGCAATCCTACCATCATGTAAACAATTACAGGCTTTCGTTTTACACTCATTGGGCAGGACGGTAGTACCTTCCCTGGGCGGTTGCTGTCTACCACCTACCTACCTATAATATATATAGATATAATAATATTTATATATATATATTTATATAATGTATATATACTATATATATATATATAATGATAATATATATTACATTATATATACATGTATATCATATATACATATTATATATATATATATATATATATATATATATTATATATATAATATATTATATATATATATATTACTATATATATATATATATATATAAAGTAAACCTTACTGGGAGACTGTTGATTTTTGTGGGGACAAATAATGGTTCTTTGTGGGGATCCATGTGGGATCCTTATTGAGACCCCCACCAGTCCTTCGTGAGACCCCACCAGTCCTTGTGAGATCCCACCAGTTCCTTGTAGAGAACCCCCCTGCCAGTCCTTGCGAGACACCCACCAGTCCTATGGGACACCGCTGTGTGGGGAGATTCGTGAGCCTTGTAATAATTATTGTTTTTTTAAAAAATCTATATATGAAACCATCTATACCTCGTTCTATGTACGTGCACTTCTTTCGAACCTACTGAGCGACTGAAGAATATTCTTAGGGTACAGGAGCGTGTAGAACGGGTACAGGTAGCGTTGATGGGTAGATTGCAGGCAGAAAACGATATATTCACAAATTTTTAAATAAGTCTCTCATCGTAATCGTACCCTTGCCTGGGACCAGTATCTTTTGACATGACGAAAGTGAAGGTTTGATACATAATTATTGCTGCATACGCCAAGATAGTCCTGACTATGTTGTATAGTGTTGTGGATAATTTTGTTGAGGGTCCGAAAGGTAATGTTAGTTTTGCCAGATGCTCATTTTGCAGCAGAGGTTATTTGCTTGATGTGCGCTTCAGGCAATATGCTCGGTACTGTTGCTCGTCTTTGGTTTCCTTCTTCAGTAAGGTTTAGAAGCTTTGTTCCACGAATCTGTACTTCATTTATGATGTAGCTTGCCTTCCAACATTTTTTCATAACCATGACATTTGGTGGTTGGAACTAAATCCTGGACCATTTTTATAACCCTGAAATATGGTGAACTAAATAATTTCGCATTATGTTGCAAAATAAATCGAATATATTCTTGTCATTCCGTAACGCCAGAATCCATTACAGGTGGAGCACCACTTTCCTAGAAGCCTTCTTTATAGTCTGTGTAGTCCAGTCATTCCTCTTTTACCTCACTTCTGTTGTCATAGAACTCATCAGTACACAAATAACTGCCACATAGAAGAGAGGATCTTACGACGACGTTTCTGTCCGACTTACACCATTTTACAAAAGTCACCACTAACGAAAAGAGAGAGGGAAGGGGTATATATAGGCAGGAGTGGTAGTAGTAATAGTGATGGTAGAAGGTAGGAGTAGTAGTTGTGGGAGGTAGTAAGGAGGAGGAGGTGGCCAGTTTTTCCCAATACTAAGACAGAGGAGCACTGCAAGGACCTAGGTGCTCACAGAGGGTAAGAGCAAGAACACAGAGGGGGGTAAAAAATAAATAAATAAAAAAAGGAACAAATACACCCGTCCGCAGAAAGACACCCAAAGGAGAAAGAGGAAAGGGAAATAAGAGGGAGAAAAAAGAAAAAGGAGGAATTGGTTAAGTCACGGGTGTTCTGAAGTTTTGGAGCATTTGACAATGTAGTGGGAGAGGAAGGCATCTACAGAGACGAAGCCAAGTCTTGAGATTCATACAAGGAAAGTTGCTGTATTAGAGAGGATTCAAACAGTCGGGCGACTGTTGAAGTTGGAAGTAGGAAGACAGTTTTAGCAGAAGACCAGTCAATAGGATGGCTGTACTTTCTCTGACGTGACAGAGAAAAGAACATTGTTAGTGTCGCAAGCCTAAAAGTATTTTTGTGCTCCCTGAGACTGTTCAGAAGAGATCGACCAGTTTCTCCAGAGTATTGAAGAGGACAGGTGGAACGAGAATTGAGTAGACACCAGGGATCTGTAGAGGGAGGAGAGGTATGAACGAGATTAGAGCGAAGTGTGTTAGTCTGGGGGAAATTAAGTTTGAGTCTTCAGGAACGGAGCGTAGTTGTTGAGATTAAGGAAAGACCTGGAAATGTACGGAAGCAGAGGACAGAGAGTTCAGGTAGTAGAGAGTTTGGGAGAGAAGAAATTTCGTTTCAAGCACGTGAAGAAGCAGTCTATGAAATAGGGAAGGGTAGCCAAGACGTGAAAATGAATTATGAAGAGTGGAATTTTGATTGAAGGAATGAGGATCACAATGCCCATAGAGACACCGAAGGTTTGCAGGAATAATATTTCCTTGGAAGGAAGGAATTAGTCCACACCACGGCGGGATAAGATCAAGAAAGCATCAGTACGGTATAGGAGATGAAGAA